GGATTCTGCTGCATATTCATCCACTGGATCAGACTCAAGCCAGGGAAGATTGGGCTCTGAGTATCCTTCATGCCAAAATCATCTGCAAGCCAAGGCATTGTCCTCTTGAAAACATTCTCTACGTCAGATTCACTATCTGGCATCCCTGATTGACTAGGGAATTTTGACTTGAAAAATGGAGGTGGGCAAATGTAGAATGGAGTTACAACAGGCTCAATATCCCAAATTGAAACTCGGCTTGGACATTCACCAACTGTTGATTCATCCCATCCAACCTGAAGGTTGCGCCATCGTGAATTTTTCCATCTCACAGGATCCAAATCACTGATACCTGTTATTGTCCCCATGTATCTGCGTACCCCTGATTCCTCAGTCCCAAACATCATCCTACATCTCATCCCAAGAGAAACTTGGGTGTACATTGCTTTATTATATTTTGATAACGGAATTACAAATTCTGAAGGACTGGCCCTTGGGTTATAAAATATTGTAAATGGACTGTTATTTGCAGCAGCATGGGCGGCAGCAACAAGAATTCCAATATGCATGCTATCACTAGATATGACTGATGACGAAAGGGCTGGTTACTGTCTGCTTGCACGCCTTGTGCCCTGGAGAAGCTGTGACTTTTCATCTCTTATAAAAAGAACAGAATCACCAGCAAAGAGTCCTTTTGTCCTAACAAACACACTCCAACTTGTAGTCAGCAAGTGTCTTTTTGGTTGACCACGATAGATATGTCTRAATGTCCATGCAACATCATGCAAATCTCTCGCTACTAGTTCCTGGGCTGGGGGTTGCATTGAAAAATCTAGAGGTGGGAAGATCTTCTCTGTTGCCCGGCGAGGTGCAGCAAATCCACCATGAGTGCTCGTATCACTAGCTGTAAGTGTTTTGCAAAAGAACTCAGTGGGTTGTTTGCTTTGCTTGAGCCCCATGTCTGATGCCAATAATGCTTCCTTGTCATATTTATTTACAGGTTGAAGAGTCATCTGCATATAAACCTCATCAGTTTCAGGATCAGCCTTATCCCTGTCATCTGTCTGTTGATTCCGGAAAAACTGCTCGCAGTGATACAGCCAGCCTAAGGGGTCTCCGTTGCCGTTGTACGACGGAGATTCCAGCCTGTTGTACCTGGGGATGACTGCGGCTACCGGGGCGACGACCTGCTGTTCGCCGGACGACTCCGTCAAGTCTGGTCGGCG